CCTGTTTAGGGTACGTAGGCAGTCTAACGAGACGTTAGATGCAGCCATACAATAAATGAGACTAAATAATTGAGTCAAAAGGCTTGTTTGGGGAATTGAGCAATGTGAAAGAGATTGGTGGAAAATGTGAGATTTAACCTTATGTTTTAGTGGTTAAATGTTGGTTATAAAGCAATGTATGAAGAATTGTAACATTGAAGTGAAAAATAGTTAGTAATGATAGTTAATTAAACTAGGGTTTAGTTGGGCTTATTACTGTTAATTATTTCCAAAGGTAATTAGTTCAGGAGTGGGGCAATACAGCTTATGCATTTTATGCCATTTGCATATATGTTTATATGTGTGGAAATATTATGATAAGGTTGAATTTCATATTTACATCCTGGTATATACATATGTATGTTACTAGCACATAATTAAAGGTGAACGCTCTGAAGTGCAAAGGTGAATGCAAGAGACGCAGGTAAGTTCAGGTGAGTTTATGGTATTAATTGAAATGATGGAGTTATGGCAGGACTACATTTATGCTTTAGGCAACTCTGACATTGTCGTACAGGTTGCCCATGAGTCGTACATATTATATTAGACGTAGTTAGAGCTCATAAACCTGCACCCCGGTGTTAGTGCTCCCGCCCGTGGCTAGTGCATAATCCTTCACGTGATGTCACCTTACGCTCATCTTGGATCAAAGGTAGGTGCACATGCCTGTCGTAAAGACCACTATAGGTGGTTCCGACTAGTAGATGACCCGCGATTATTCGCACAGTCTTCATGTGATCGTAACACTTGAGCATATTTATTTACACCCAATCCTGTCATACAGACCACCTTAGGTGGTTCCGACTCTTGTGCAGGTATACTTAATGAGATATGGATAAGTCGTACAGGTCACTAGAGGTGACTCTTGACTTATGAGCTAGCATATGTGATGAGATTTGGATAAGTCGTACCGGTCACTAGAGGTGACTCCCAACTTATGAGCTAGCATATGTGATGAGATATGGATAAGTCGTACATGTCATTAGAGGTAACTTCCGACTTATGAGCTAGCATATGTGATGAAATATGTTATGAGCTAGCATATGTGATGAAATATGTTACGAGCTAGCATATGTGATGAAATATGTGATGATATATGTTATGAGCTAGCATATGTGATGAGCTATGGATAAGTCATACAGGTCACGTGAGGTGACTCCGGCTGGCATACCATTTCATATTGATTTATTTCACATGGATTACTTATTCTTGTTGAGATATTTGACACAGCATAACTGTGAGACTGTTATTTTGGTTATGGTTTTAAGTTATAGTCACGTCTGTTATTTTCTGTGAAATTATATAGGTGTTACGGCGAGAGGCTACTGCCTTTGGTAATTGAAATTGGTTTGAAAAGTTTTGTTTCACTCACTCACATTTTCTATTTTTGCACCCCTCCAGGTTCTAGCAGCAGAGTTTCGTATCGACGATGATTCGTGGCACTTTTAAGCACATATGTCTTCTTATAATGGCATAACCATTATCTTACTTTAAATTATTGTACCTATGCTCTATATCACGTGTGAAATGGGTCCAAACCCGCTCACCGCGCACTCGAGTACTTTGGGACTTTTAGGTTTTAATTTATTCATCATCATCATACTTTATGGTTTCGTCACCTTCCAAGTGTTAGTCAGCACAGCTCGATTCGGAGTCCTAGTGGACATTTCGGGTCGGGGTGTGTCAACCTATATCACAGGTTAATTAATTTATCTACCTATATGATAGATTTTTTATAATCAACTAAGATTAATGTGTCTTGCTTGTAGGTATCTATGTTTTTTCTACCTTTTAGTTAGGTTTCATATCTTGCTTGTAGGTATAATATTCATTCATATATTTGTTACTTGAGTTAGGGTAGAATGTTTTACATATAGATTTATGTTAGTATATTATTTTTTTGTTATAAGATATTAATTATATTTTTTGGAGTTGGAAAATGCATAATATTAGAATATTTTAATTGATTTTAATATTTTTAGACAAAAATATAAAATGAGTATAAAAGAAATAAAAACATGTAATTAGATAACTTGACTCATTCCTAAAAATCATTTATATTTTTGGACCTGGATCTAAAGCCCCTTTTAGTTTTTGAGATTGGTCGTATGTGGGAATTGATTTGGTATAAAATACGTCCTGATCCAACATAAAAGGATTCTTTCCTTTTCCAATATCTAGTTGAACATTCCAAATGAAGATTTTTTTTTTTTTTTTTTTTTTGTCAACATTCCAAATTACGATTGTTTACTTTAGACATGGACATTATCTTGTAGTAATTGAAACTCCAGTTAAACCTGACAATTTCTTACGCGACTCATTAATACGATACATAAATGATAAAAAATAATGGGTTTCGGGTTAACACGATAATTAATTGGGTCATTATTAGGTCACACAATAAGAACCTATTAATAACATGTCCTTAACAGGTTTACACGAAAATGACACGCAGGTAACCCATTTCGACATGTTAAGAAAAAAGTTATTTTGATGATTTTAATTTTTTAAACTACTTAAAAAAAACTTACTATAAAATACAATTAGCCATAGTTTATATGTATATATTGCATATTAAAATATGTATTATTGTATTATTATTCTATATAAATTTGAAATTTGAAATTTTTATTTATTTTTATAGTATACTATAGGCAAATAGTGAAATTACAAAATTATAAAACAAACTAAAAATAAAAATATCATGCAATTTAAAAATACCAAACACATTAAAAAAATATAATAATTAATTCACAACAAATGCTCATGATTGCATCCTCTACGCTTTGAGGATGGGTACATCGTTGTTTGAATTTTTAAAACCATACAGACCCTCATGAATGGTATTTTAAGGGAGTTCAAAATAAACCAATATCATTTCCCTTGTGATTATTGAAAATTGAAGGGTTTTATTGTGAAAAACATGCAAGGTTTCATCAACCTTGAAACGCAACTCCTTTCATTTTGCATATTCTTGAACATTTGGTATTTTGTAATAATGTACTAATGTTTTTTCATTCGACTCTTATTTTGGGTATGTAATACTTAAAAGACAAATGTTGTTTTTATGTTTTGAAGTAATATTTATGTGACAATGTGATATACATATACAAATTTAGTATTATGTTTTCAATTTTTTGGGGGTCAAATTATGTTTTTCATTTTCATTATTTATTGATTTAAAATATATTTTCCTTAACGGGTCGAGTCATATTACCCATTTACTTTAATGGGTGTTCTAAGACACGACCCGTTAAGATATCGGGTATGTCACGAACACAAAAAACACGACACAAATGTCAGGTCTAACTCCAGTATTTGGGAATCAATCTTACCGGCCTTGCCATCCTACACTTATAAAGAATCATTCTTATCTTCTTCTTCTTTTGTATGGAGTTTTTGGTGATTATATACATAACATAAGCACATAAACTAGTGAATTGTTATTGACATTTTAAAAATCTCATTTTCTACTTCAGACTTTATATAATCAAAAATAAAAATACACTTGTAAGAAGTGCGGGATGAAATTTTTTAAATGCTAATAAGAGTTCCTATAAACTAAATCATACTTATCTAATAATAGATGATGTTGTGGGCACCACCACATAATTGTGGTAAAAAATCTTCTTGGAAACGAAATTTTTGATACAATGATAATATACTTTGAGGAGGAAGATAAAGTCCGTACTGCAAACTCAACAAAAATATAATTTTTCATTGTCATTAATAAGAATGAAACATAAGACCTTTAACTTATAAGTAAAAAAGAATATCACTCGAGCGTAATATTAGTTGATTCTCTTGAAGAAAAAAAACAAGTTATGCAAAGATTTTGACGAATTGAGCTACGCCAGGTAAAGAGATGATTAGGGAAATGGATAAACCAAATAAAGTAACCTTTTACGTCACCTAGAAGTCCGTCCGATTCTTGGTTAACTAATTAGCTTACGACATATATGTAATGAGCTTTTCTTTTCCACATTTTGCCTTTGTCACCATCCATATATATCACATCCCAACATTAACAAACGTCTTTACTTCTCTAGCAGTGATATTATCTAGACCATGATAAGAGTTGGACAAATTAAGCCATCTAGTGAAATCCAATTCAAAATTTGTCAAGACCGACCATCAGTAACGATAAGTCATTTTTTTTTTCATCTTTGTTTTTACAAAGGAAATGATACCTAGCTAAAATAAGTGTCAACCCAGCGTAGCTTAACTACTTTTTCATTTTACTGATACGGTTGGTCGATTCAAACTTGAATTCTTTTCCACTATTAAAAAAGAATACTAAACTAACAACTACTTGATCAACGTAAATTAACACGAGTTTCCACGAATGGTACATATAAAAAATTTCATTTTTCATGTTAATTTGGCATGCAAAGTCTCATTTTCTTTATCCAGTTTCTTTTCCTATGATTTTACTTGATTGGTATTTTTAGGCCCCTGTCGTTTTCGCATGCCGGTCTCTGTGTTCATTTTGTTGATCATTAATGGAATATTTCTTAACGTCAAAATAAAAATATATTCGTTCTCTGGGTAATGATGATAAGATTGGCTGCAATTAACATCTTCGAAGGAGAAAAATGATAAAAGTATTAGAATTAAGGGTTAATCTTAGTTTACTACTTTGAAGTTTTTTTGTTTTCAATATTTGGTACATGAAGTTTTTTTCGTCCCAATCTGGTACCTAAAGTCATAATTCTAGGACACTTTCATTCATCTGTTAAGTTTTCTATTAGAACATCCGTTAACTGATGACATGGCACCCAAGTGGACAATGACTAGACGACACGTGTTAATATGGGTCCACGTGGATATTAAAAAAAATTAAAATTAAAAAATATTAACAAAAAAAAAATCCTTACAAACACAATCCGCCTCTTACTCACCCCACCACCCCTGCCTCCCTTCTCCCTCCCTTCTCTCCTCTGCATCCACCCATCCGCTCCCTCTCTACATCCACCCATCCGCTCCCTCCCTTCTCTCCTCTGCACCCACCCATTCACTCCCCTCCTTCTCTCTCTTCCACCTTCTTCATCTCCACCCGTTGCAAAAAACCTAATCCCCAAAAACAAGATCTTGAAGTTTAGGAAGAAGATTGCAGGAAATGAAGGGGTATTTCAACCTCTTCTATCCCTCAAGATCTCAACCTGGGATTGGGGGCGATCCTCGACATCGGTTTGGGCCTCGACGACTCCAAAGAATCGCTTCTCCTCCGTGAACGCAACGATTTCAGTCCGACTCGTTACTTCGTCGAAGAGTCTACCACTCACTACAATGAGACCGATCTCCACTGCTCCTAGGTTCGGGTACAATTTCTATTCATAATGCCATTTTGATTCGCAGTTCTTCATTTTTTGTAATTTCTTTGATTATTTTTGCTAACTCAGTGGTTTTAATTAAGGCGGCAACGACAACGAGGAGTCTGGAGGAGAGGAACACAAGGTTGGAGGACATGGGCTGGCGAATTTGGAATTTGATGTGGGTTTGGTGGAATTTAAGGGTTTTGACGTGGGATTGAGCTTCTTCAACTCGAGGTTCTTGGTGGAATTGGAATTGTTGGTGGATTTCAAAATCTTGGTTTGGTTCTTGGAGGATCACTAGTTGGGTTTGCAAAGAATTGTTTTTTTCATATATATAATTTTTAATTATTAATACTCACGTAGGCCCATATTGACACATGGCGCCTAGTCATTATCCATGTGGCGTCACGTCATCAATTAATGGAGGTTCTAACATAAAACTTAACAGATGTATGAAAGTGTCTCAGAATTATGACGACTTGAGGTACCAGACTAGTTGGACCACCAAGAAACTTTAGGGTAGTAAACTAAGATTAACCCTAGAATTAAATTCTAAAAGTCTAATGCTAATTAGTTTACATACTTATACTCGAGAAAGTGGAGTTCTACTTGATGAGCTATCATGTTCAGTCCTGACTTTTTTGGTGCCTGGGGCGAAGGCTAAAAAACGTGCAATTTTTCAATATACAAACATATAATAAAAGTCTAATGCTAATTGTTTTCTTGTATTTTTTTTAAGAAAAATCATCGATTATATCATCATATTCCAAGTCTTCAACCTCATCATTTTCAATGCATAAGATTGCTAATCCATTTAGTGTTGGAAGTATACCCACAAATCCACTCATTTGATGTAATATCTTTTGGAATACTTATTGTGTTAAACTATTATATGTTTAATGAAGGGAAAATCTTATTGTTAATCACTATTTATTGTATTATGTGTTTAAGCAATAAGGGGATCCAAGGACTGTATTTAATCTAAGAGAGAAGTGATCTAAGTAAGTAAGATTAACGAGACCTTTCTCTTATGTTCATTCCTAAAACGTTCATAGCCATAGGATTGCCAATTGGGCATTGACAATCCACTAAGGTTAGTATGTGTTATGTTAACTCAAGCGTGAGTATGACTAGTCTTAAGTCATCTAGTGTTGGACACTAAGACAAGCACATAGGTGCTCAAAAGGTAATCAAGTACACTTAACAACGATCAAAACAGAGTTCAAATATACATGTCATGTTAAAACTCGTAAGTTGCAATATGCAAAGTAGTACTTTGACCTGAGGCATCATAGATGTCTAATGGTTAGGTCTTTGATCTTTGATCATGTCAAAGGCATTCCATCAAGGTGTCCATGACATTGTTGGGGTCAAGCTATCTAGTCATGTAGGCATATGAATGCACAACAAGGAATCTCTAATCTTCCATGGTGGAAGGAGAATACTCTGAGATATGATTTGGGAGTCTTTGGCCAAACCATACGAATGTGACTTTGGAAGTTTGTTCCAAATCATATTCAATTGAATCATATAGAGAAGTATCACATTGGATAGTAGACATGAAACAAACTATCACTCAAACAATGTGATTAAAAGTATTGTTTTAGAGAATGACCGTATTGCATTGTAATTGTAACTAGATAGGTTATCTAACCATTTCTACTTAGCTTGGGTAGCCATGACATACTGCTAGGTGTCATTCATGGTTTGTGAAAGCCCTGAAGATTAGCAAACACTAATCTTCATCAAAGGGAGAATTGAAATGTAGTTTCAATTCACAATCGATTGTTAAGAGTAACAATTGCTCATTGCCTCTCTAATTGGAACCTAATGGATCGTACACCGAGTAAGGATGAATGTGAAGAAATATAAATGAGATGGATAAGCAATTAAATGGTTTAATTGAGAATGGTCAAGATTAATTAATTAGTTAATTAATTATACGAAAGGTTTGTATTGAGCTTTCAATTTAGTTTCGGGTCTCGGGGGCCCAAAAGTGTTTTGGTCCACAAGGCCCATTATGTTTAACTTGTATGACAACTAAAATAAAATGGGCAATTAGCCCAATAACAAAGTCAAGGCCGGCCATAAGGGTGAGTGGAAGCAAACTTGGATTAATTGCAAGTTTGCTACTCACATGTGAGGTAGTATAGTTTGCTACTCACATGTGAGTATAAAGTCATCTTTATAACTTTTACTCACTAGGGTTTTCTTGAGGCAAAGAAGAGAAACATTTTCTCTCCTTTTTCTCTATAGAGGCCGGCCACTTAGGGAGACTTTTACTAGCATAAAAAATCTCTCTAAGTCATCCATCTTCTCTTCACACTACATCCTTGGTGTGGAGAATTAGAGACACTAAACCTTTAGTGTTCTTGGAGATCCTTTCCTCACATCCTTAAGGAGCAAAGGAGTATCAAAAGGAAGAAAATCACAAGGAAGATCTAAGGAGCTAGGAGGTGACTTGAAGGCCTTCCACTTGGGTGAATCCCTTATGTAAACAAGGAAGAGCTTCAAGGGTAATGAATCTCAAAATCCTCTTTTTTAATGTTGTTAAAGAGTCTTGTGTTTCACTATTCACTAGGCTTTGAAAGTCATGGGTTTTTAGAATTGTTTTTGAATGCATGCTTACTTTAAAGTGTTATTAGTTAGCTTATGTGTTCAAATGTTCTCACATATTCTTAGCTAGGACAAAAAATTTCCTTCATTTAGCCTATCTTGAGTCATAGTGGTCCGCAAGTAAGAGTTCAATAATTTCAATTTTGAAAATTTTCTTTATGCTGATGCCATAGTCACAGGTATAGTCAATAATACAGATAAGCAATCAACACATTTTGACACATGTCAATTTCTCTGACAAACTTTGCTATTTCCATGGATGTCCAAGGCCTATTAGATTGAAATGATTTTTCAGGTAACATCGTTTGCAATATCTGTAATTCAGAACATAAGACAGCTCCATCTATATCAATGGAATTTCCATGTTTAAAATGTGCTTCAAGATTCATGCAAAATTCTTTTAGCTCCTAATCGTCCAAAAATCCTTCAATTGTTGAAACCTGTGATTCAATTGAGAAAAAGCAATATCCACAGTAACAAGAAAATAATCTACTCTAAATGATTCTTCAGTAGACTATTGTTCCCTCATACTACCATCAATTTCATCATGATGTCTTTTTCTAGTTCTATGACGTTTAGTTTGAAAAATAGGGTCAATTCCAAAATCAAGTGCAATTTCTTTAGCATTACTCATGGCATAAGCAAAATCAATTTCTTTATAGTTTTCAAAAAACATAACAAGTGCTTCCAATACCGTTACAGCAACATCAAGACGCATGTCTTCAGATTGTAATTGTGTACTCACCATGCTAATCTTTAACAAAATATCATACCAAATAACCAAACTTAATACAAAGTCAAAATTTGAAAGTTCTCCTGATGCTAAGCATCTTGGATTCGTACTCAATTAGGGATTCTTAGTAAATTCCACCAGCTTAAACAAAGCACCTATTCCAGACACTTGGGATTTAATTGTTTTAACACTTTCAATGTGACTCTTCCATCGAGTAGTTGACAATGATTTCAAAGTTAAACCATCAATATGTTCAAGTAAAATATTCCATCGCTTTGTAGAGTTGGAAAACACAGTGTATACATTACATGCTCCAAAAAAAGCTTTCGTTTTAAGACACGAACTTGTCATATCACAAACTATTAGATTAAGACAATGGGAACCATGTGGCATGTAAAAGGCTCTAGGATTTATGTCTAACAATCTTTTTTGTACACCTAGTGTTTCCCTCTCATATTAGATCGATTATCATAACCTTGTCCCCTCTTGTTATGAATATCAAGAGACTTTAGTACATCTTGCAACTCAATAAAAAGTCCTTGTCTTGATGTATTTTCCACACTTAAAAACTCCAAAAAATACTCTCTTATTTTTATTGATCTACTTGACAACTCAACACATCTTAAAATTAAAGTCATTTGTTCTACGTGACTCGCATCAGGAGTACAATCAAGAATGATAGAAAAAAAAATTTGGCCTCTTTCATTTAAAAAAAAATAGCAACAGATATCATATCAATTAAAATTTCAACATATATTATAAAAATTACTTGCCAATCGCCACTCGAACTTTGTTGCTTTGCGGTCCTAATACAAAAGTAAAACTAATTTTAAAAACCAAACTGATTAGTAAACCTAAAACTTATTTATAAAAAAAAATTAAATTGAAAAAAATTTAAGAAAAACTGAACGAAAAATAATAAAAAACAAAACCGAGTGAAAAAGAACAGTGATCATTGAAATAAAAAATTTAGTGGGACTGGCCTTCTGCCTCTGGGTCGTCTGACTCTGGCTTGTCTAAAGATTGTTTGTCATAGTAATAGTGGCATCACGGGTCACAACCCTCACCACCTCTGAAATTCTGAAATGGTTTTGGCTCGTCCACCTTTGGGTCTGGCAATCTGCCAAGCGTCGTGTGGTGATAGGGAACGACGTGAATCGGTAAGTGGACAAATGGGACGTTGCCACAAGCAAGGAAATTGCTTCAAAATTCTGGAACAAAAAGTTGAAGGTACTTTGGTTAGGTTGTGAAATTATTTGAAAATTGCTTAAATCTAAATTCTGGGTTCTGTGAGTTATGATCCTTGAATAAATTAAATGCTTCAGGATTCGAGCTTGGAATTTGAAAACTTGGAAGTGCATAATATTAAAGACTATAAAGTTTTCGAAGCGTCGATGATGAACAGAGTCTCAAATTCACGCAAACTCACTGTACCAATTTTTTTTTAAATACCTATATATGTAAAAATAAAAATAAAAAAAATAAAAAATTTGGTGCCCCTTCTAGCCTCGACCTGGGCCTTGTTTGTACCAGGCCAAGGCTGACCCTGTGAGCTATTCATTGTGCCTCAAGTAATAGTAAGACAATAAAGAACTCTTGTAAAGGAAGTAATCCTATAGGCTTTAGTATTATAGTCATAGGCTCGTTAGAATTTTTCATGTCATGCCCTGATCTTGACATACGTTCATGATTCACACGTGACGCTCTGGTGTAGAGGTGGCGAGGAATAAAAACAAACAAATAGTCCTACAACATAGTATAATTTCCTCTTATTTTATGGCTACATCTAATCTAGCATAGCCATTTGTAGTTCACCCTTTGTTTACTTGTAAAACTAATAGCGTACCCAACATTATATCATTTTCAATCATTTTATATAGTTAAAGTACTTCTAATAAAAGTTTACGAAAAAATCTGACACTGCTTCTTTGGCTAAAAATACTTATATAACTATAGTTTACCAAATACTTAACTTCTTTATTTTACATTTATTTATTATTACAGCACAACAGAAACAGTTTTTAAAAAAGCACAACAACCCCAAACT